CCAGGAGTGTGTTGGGGGGGGGGAGCACTTTAATTAGAGTGGATCCAAGAGCTGCTTTAATTAAAGCACTCAGAGCATCTCATGTATCAGCATCCCTGAGCTTCAAAATGGTGGTAGGGGCACTTTATCTAAAGCTCATTTGACAAGCTTTAGATAAAGTGCCCCTACCACCATTTTGAAGCTCAGGGATGCTGATACATGAGATGCTCTGAGTGCTTTAATTAAAGCACTCAGAGCATCTCATGTATCAGCATCCCTGAGCTTCAAAATGGTGGTAGGGGCACTTTATCTAAAGCTCATTTGACAAGCTTTAGATAAAGCACCCCGTTGCCATTTGGAAGCACAGAGACATTGATACGCAAGATGCAGAAGGCTGCTGAATAATTGCCATGTTCCAGCAGACTCAATTAATTGAATCTGATCCCATGCACTGGAATTACAGTGCATCAGAGCAGCCTCCCTACTTGTGTATAGGCACCTAGAGGTACTAAATTTAATGTGCATTAGGAAAAGTGTATTAATGAACGCATAGATGCACCCAGAGAGTCTCTTTTTATACCTCCTGGTCTGGACTAGCTATGCCTCCTTGTTAGGACCTTTGTCAGACACAGGCAGCAGTCACTTAGGAATCACTCAGCTAGCAGCACTCCCAGCTGTTCAGAGCACATGCTCAAGTACATAGCCAACCAAACAAACATTCAGAAAAGTGATTATGAAAGCTATTCAACCTACACCAACCTTTAGCTGCAGACCTTGTGGGAGACCTGTATTTGCTGGAAGTCTTTTAATGTGTTGATAGATGTAAGAGGTACACTGTTCCTGCTCAGCTTGTAATTGTGGGGCAAGTTTAGAGAGATGACCTTTGTAGCTCTGGATGGCTGCCTGTAATTCATCAGAAAGCTTGTTCACCTGAAGGGTTAAATTATAAGAGCTGTGAGCAAAGGACAATTGTTGATGTCACACATATTAGAATTTTCATTTTAAACCTGAGGGAAGACATGGCAAGTATAAGCAAAATGTCTCATATATTTTTCTTTGTACTTTTCAGGTTAGAAGTAGTAGTACTTTATTTACAGCTTTTGCTAAAATGATACAATAAAATTAACAATAAAATTATATTACTTTTCAGGTTATTCATTATGTTATACTCTGGGTATATAAGATAATTCCTAATAAATGAAAATGTGCTATTAATTCAAATCTCTTCTTTTTTCCTTTTCCACTCACAGACTGTGTAGCATTACTAGTGAAGTATAAGGAAGAAACATAATTCTGTAATTCACAAAGAATGGTTACACTGAAAATACATTCTGCTTGTCTACATTTACATGTCCTTGAAGCTTCCCTAAAATTTAGTTTCAAGATATCTATATGTCCTTTATGGGAAATGCTTACTGTCTTATTACTAGGAAACCATAAAAGGTTGATTAAATTAGAAAACAGGAAAAAAAGTTTAGATAAAATAAGAATCATTCCCATCCTTCACCTATGAACCAGGCTAAACACTTCATAAAATTTTAAGAACTAAAATAACGGCTAGCTTACTTAAGGAAAAATGGCATTTGGTGCACTCAAAAAGGGTGTTAGAGTTTGAATTTAAAGTTCAGTTTGTGTCCTATGAATTGTTAGCAACAGCTGACATTATAATATGCAACTACCGGTTGCAGGATCAAGAATTTCAATTTTTAAAACCCTCTTTCCCCTTGAGCACCATCATCATGTGTTAAAACCAGATGGTTACTTGAAGAAGCATGTTTTCATTATCAGAACTCAGAAATGTGCCCCTCCTTTGGTACTAGGAACTTCACATTTCAGGACTGCTGGGTCTGATATGAGGCCTAATAAGTCACAAAATAACTATGACTATATTTATCCATTAAACTACCATTCAAATTAAGTAGCTATTTTTCTAGATAAAATTGTACATGATTTATTCTGCTTTTGGCCATAAATTGCCCATTTTACTTTTATTTCAAATGCATGCTCCAGAGAGGAATTTGTGTACATTTGTGTATACACTTACAGATATAACTGTATTCTTCTTAGTCAACTTAATGTGAATTCTACTATGACTATCATTAGCTTTGATTACCTGGAAGAGCTAACCAGGAGAAAGTGAGCATGGCAACTAAAATCATGTTAGCTGGTTACATGTTCTCTTATATACACATACATATACGTATATATGTAAAATTATTGCCATACAACTGGGAGGTATAAGAATACACATAAACTTTTTTAGGAGTTTTGAAATGAGAAGTTCCTGTGGCTGGGTTGCCACTGAAATCCTGAAGTATATATGTAGCTTTAGCTACAATCTATCCGAGTTGAGAATGGAAGCATATTATTGATTAAAGTCATATGGAGAATATACCTCCTTATTATAATATTACAAGGTATATTTAAAAAGAATGTAGGTATTACTATATTGAAACAGATATCTGTCCAGTTGAGGTTTCTTTTTGATCTCTGACAATTGTAAGTATCCTAGCTTCGGAAGAATGGACAAGAAGCCCCCCTTAAAAAACAACCAGGGAAGGGGAAGTTTCCTTTTAATCAAAAGAGTTAATACAATCTTTTGATTAATCTTTTTAAGCAAAGCAGTGGCTTATTTGACATGAAGCATGTTATTTTTAACTGAATATGATATTACTGCAGACATCATCATTAAGTATTAAATTCTTTTTTGAAACTTACTAAGATACTGATATCATTGCTGTCTTGTGTCAGTGAACTTTGCAAGATACAGTAGTTATATGTTGTACAAAAAATTATTTCTATTGGTTGTAATTTTGCCTTTCAGTTTTATCAAATGGCTTGAGTTCTTATATTTTGGAAATGGTAAATATCAATTCTTGGTCTGCTTCTTCTATACTGTACACTATTTTGTGTAATTTTATTGTGGTCCAACTTATTCTTCTCCAATTAAACTACACATTCCTAATATTTTCAATCTCTTCAGCTACAATTTTTCACAAGCACCTAAACTTCGTCTCTAAGCCATTCATTATTTCTATGATTTCTTTTACATAGATAAGCAGAACTAAACATAGTATTCCAAATGAAGGCATGTATAACATGGTTTCACAACATTTTCAGTAATATTTTTATCCTATCTTTATATAGTCTAAAGGTTTACTTTCTTTTTTGAAGGTTGATGCAAAGAGAAGACAGTGTATGCTAAACTTTAAACCTTTTCCCTGTGGCAATATTTGAATTTAAAACCATCTTATGTATGAACAGCTCAAGTGATTCCTTCCACTATGCAGTACATTATATTTGTCATTAACAGATTTTAAGTAACTTAAGTAATTCTAAGTCATTAATTTAACTTTATAATTTCAATGGGATTTTTGCCTGAGTAAATAGTCCAGGAGTTGGATAAATACTGATATATAAAAAATAGATAAACATTATTCTTTTTAGGATTTTAGGGTGTTTCCTCAAGTAAAAGTAACATATATTTTAGTAACAAGCACATTTTGCAAAAGTTCCTTTTGTGTGCTTTTGTTCTTTAGGTAACAGGCTATTCCAAAAGGTAACCCTACAAGTGACCCAAGTGAGATATATTAAAATCTAGTAACACAATACCCCTGAACTCTTTTCCCTAATAAGAATTTTTTTTCAACGCCCAGATGTTGCTAAAGGGGGAAAAAAGACCTGTAAAATTCTTCATCATGAATCTTTTTTCTTCAAATCCCTTTTTCCCCCCTTTCAAAAGCAATTCTGAATAGAGGTAAAAGAAGACAAAACTTGACCTTTTGTGATCCCAGCATTAATAGGTCTGTTCATAATTCAATCTGTGTGTGTAGAAGCATCCATGTGGAAACATGTGGCCTGAGAGACATAAAGCCTTTCCCTTTAAACATTATCTGACCCTATGAGTTCTATTCACAAAAGAAGGCTTACGTACGCATAAGTTGAAAAAATGCACACTCTCATTGTACTGCAGAAAGCCTACACATTTTACCCCTCATTCTCCAGTAAAACTCAGCATAGAAGTGACACTTGTACAGGATCTGGGTAGGTCTATGGTAAATGAGCAGATTGCTGCCAGAAAAAAAGGATATGGAAGAAGGGATACCAGCTATTTCTCTCATTAAAAATACAAAGTAGGATTCTCACCTAGTTTAGGTCACTATAACTATACTGACTTGAGTGGAGCTGTGATGGTTCATACCAGTTCAGGATTTTGGGTACTATATACTTCAGGCTTGAAAAATTATACTTAGCATAGTAAAATACTTGCTGTAGTAAAATATCTTTCCTTCTTCCATAATCTGTATTCAAGGTAAAGGTGGGTTTTGAGTCAGGTTTGGTAAATTTTCAAGTTGATGCACTGTATTCATACTATGTACATATTGCTTTTATTACATAGGTATATACATATATAAAGGCTGTGCATGTTTATACAAAATGCAGGGTTTTCTTAGGGCCTGGAATCCTGTTTTATACAGGAACATTTGTTGCATTTGTAAGGCTGGAACAAGGAAGAGTAAGATTTCTTTTTATTATAATTGTATATCAAAGTATTACTGATATTTCTTCCATTTTCTTCTTCTACTCGGCAATAAATCAGCTGTCAGATTGAATGTTATGTAGTTCAGAGTCCATCCAGGTTACAAGTAAGTGCTCTAAGGTACTTTGCATGGAACCGGTCAATTGAAATCTGCACAAAGGGCAGGAGGTAAACAACTTAAAAAACAGCAGTACAACTTTAGGTTTAGTGGGACAAATCATCAGCTGGTGTAAATCAGGTAAGCCCCAATGTCAGTATTAATTTATGCCAGTTAAGAATCTGGGATTCCTCAACCAGGCCCAAAAATAGCATAAGAGACCACGGAGAAACTGTTATTATTTTTGAAAATTAATTTAAAAAGTCATTACTACCACCTCAAAGTTCTTAATATTTCAACTTCCACTAAAAGCTGTAGGTGAAGACGGCCATATTTTGGAAATCACAATAGGTGCCTAATGGTATTCCAAAATATGGCCTTCACAACATTCCAATAGAGGTTTAGCACATTCCAAAATTAGCACCACAGGGATGGACTAAAAAGGATGTTGGGAAACAACAGTAAATAAGGAAAGATATGAAAGATTTGTATTATTTCACATAGTTTAGCTTTAGCATAATGGTTAGGTATTAAATTGAGTAGTGGAAAAAAAGAAATTCCAAGAATAAGCCTCTAATTGTTTCACATTTAGGGATATTTAGTCCATCATTGTCTTACATAACCTGATTGTGTAACTCTTACTCCTATGACTCATTGACTTCAAGGACACTGCTCACAAAGTCAATGAATCCACACAATTTCTTGTTTATAGGTAATAGGATGAAACGCTGTTGAGCACATGTACTTAAATTACATTTTACACCCATTTCTTTTTTCATGGAGGAAGCTGGAACAGAGTAACTTATGTGGTCTTTGTCAAAGGCTTCCAAGGAGGAGTACTTGCTCATAACCTCCAGCCTTGTCTGGTCTCTCTGAGTACCCCTGAAGTCAGCCCAGGCATGGCTTCTAAAATAGAAAGAGTCCAAGCTCCTTCTGACTCTGAGATTTTAGCCTTTTGGTCCTTGACATTCCCTGGTTATCCATGGCCTTGATTCTAGTTCAGCTGCTGAGAGAGGACTTTACCTTTTTTCACATGAAGGAGTACACCCCAAGATCCAAGCAGCAAAATAGATCACTTCTCTTTAATAAAGAAAGATATCATGGAAAAGGCCACCCAGCAAGAAGATTCTGCCACCCTGCAAAGGATCAAGTGCTCCCTCTTTACCCAGTCCAACCCAAACAACCCAGAGGGCACAGATAGAAGTTATGTTTGTCACACAATTGGCCCGATGAAAGCACTCTACAGCCATGCCGTGACATATGTGCACAGCTGCAGAGCACTTTAAAAGTGGT